TAGTTTAGGTTTATTTCTTCGTTAATTTGTTGCCAGGATATCCCAACTGCAACCCTCAAAATACGAACTTCGTGCAAGCTAAGGCTTAACAAGGTCTTTTCTTTCAATGTGCAGTGGCCAGCATGAAATTAGGACTTACCTATTTATTTATTTATGTATATTTTAAGCCCATTAGACTCTTCATCCTGTGGTCAGTTGTAAATATTGTAATCAATTTAAAAAAATACGTCCGCCATTTTAACGATCAAGGTTTGAAATAATTTTAATACATTTATTAATTATTTTCTAAGTTGAATATCAAAATAGTTAACTCTAGGAAGAGTTGCAACTGTACTGACTTTTACTCAAAAATATGTGTATATCATCAGGCTTCTGAGACATGTTATAACCAAATCTTAATATAAATTTTTGGCCCACTTACAATTTACTGCATATACTTAGCTGTATGAGTGGATGACTTTCTGAAAATTAAGAAGTTTCACTCGCTTTTACAAAAAAAATATCATTAGATCCAATTTATATAGTTGTAAAATCTATTCGACGATTCACTAGGAAATCACTATCACTACATAGTATACAACAAAGTCGCTTCCCGCTGTCTGTCTCTATGCATGCTTAGATCTTTGAAATTACTCAACCGATTTTGATGCGGGTTTCTTAATAGATAGAGTGATTCAAGATTCAAGTTTATATGTATATAACACGCATAACATAGTAGAGAAAGACTGACAATTTTGGAGGTTTCTAATGTGATGTAAATAAACATATTTTTTTGCGCTTACATTGCAAACGCTGGCAGAACCCTACGAAATAGATCGAGATACATTATTTTGATCATATAGTAGTACATACTACATAGTGCTACTGCATAGACATACTAAATTATTGTACACCTTAAAAAGGCATACAAAAAGTCAGTGATGGTATATGTCTATCTCTAAGGGATAACCCGCAATAACCATTCTTTATCCTTTACATTTTTACGAAGCGATTTTAATATTTTACCAATCAAGTACCTACCTTAAATACATTGTGCATTTAATATAGATCAATATGGCCTATTACAGCATGTAATTTAAATGAATATTTTCGAAGATATGACAGATTTAAAATGCAGGGAAATAGCGGTTGCGGCGGTACCGGCCAGGGGCGGCGGTGCGTGCCTATAAATTGCACATCGAAGGCTGCGCTTCGCGCTGTAACACTTAAAGACAAAGTGCGATGAAACATATAAATATATGTTTATATATACAAAAAATATAAGTACCTAACAAACCTTGCAAGTTCATTATAAATGCAATTATATTACAATTTGATTTACACATATTAGTGTAAAATAAAAAGAAGAACATAAGTATAATAATAATAATAGTAATAAACATAATAGTTAAAAAATATCGTTAAGTTTATCTTGAGCAGTATATTTTTGACCGACTCCCTGAACCTTCTCTGCTTTATTATATATCTAACTACCCGTGGTAAATGGTTATACATTTTTTTACTTCGTATATGTTAGTGTTTTGTTAGAGCCAATCTGGGTATTGGCAGATGGATATTATTACTACTGTTCTGTCTTGTGTTGTGAATTCTATGTGCAACAGAAGAATCAATCAAACAACTTCGAGAATGAAGTTGCTGAATAGAGTGAAGATTCGGTATTTAACGAAAAGTTGATGTCTACAACTATCCCTATAGTTCGCCCTACATAAAAACCGCAAAGATCTCTTTTGCAACACCTGATTCAATAGTTGTTTACTACAGAATCCCCAAAATGCAATGCCATACCTTAGATGAGACTCACTAGGACAAAGTAAGTCGATCTAGCAGTGAATATATCAAGTTCATTGGAGACAATTCTGACAGCAAATGATCCTGAAGCCAATTTTGTGAATAAAGATGTAATATGTCCCTTAAAATTCAATTCATTGTCAATATGCAGATCAAGAAATCTAGAGCAAAGCGTTGCTTCTGTCTCCTAAGTATTGCACCCGTGCGGTGCTAGTAATGAGCATTTTTCGCCAATAGAATACTATACTTTTAGAATAGTTCATAATAGTAATATTTTAAAATAAGATGTATTTACGAATGATATCGCTGATCTGAATATTTCATTAGTCATTTCTTCGCGGAGTAAAAAAATGTATTAGTTTTAATATTTTTCAGATTATGAAAATATAGTTCAAAAGTTGAGTGGAAAAATAGTTAAAACTGTCAGAGATGTGACTTGACCCAAGATTTAACTCAGGATCACTTACACATAGTTATAACCACTACTTACAAGTTGGTGTGACACAAAGCTGGATTGGGTTTCAGTTCAATGATTAACTTTGACTTCGAGTTTGAAGTTTGGGAAAAATTTTTAAGTAGGAAATTCCTTGGAAAATTCTCAATGCTAACTCATTGCGATTGTAAATAATCAAAAAACAATTGTAACGCTATGAATCTGTTCATCTGTAATTGGGCCTCTAGGTAATGAGGTACAAATCTAGTCGATTGTGATTGGTTCCAAGGTAAAAATTATGCTTTTTCCATAGTCATAAAAAAAAATTATCAAACATTGATATAACTCAAAATGCAACAAGTAGATTGTCAATAAATTCAATGCTATTTGACATTATAAGGCTAGACCTATTACCTTGAGTAGCCCAAAAGTCAGTCGACCGTTTGGTTCGCTGATTCGTGAAGAACTTTGAAAGAAGTATTTTTCATGAAACTAGGATCTTTTCGTCCTTTTTTTTGGGGTAGAGGAGTGAAGAACTGACAAAAAATGGTTAGAGCAGTGAAGTAAGGTGGTTAATGGTTAAATCATTATATATACCAAGGTGATTCACGTGGATGGCACATTAAAATATTTTTCAAATAGAACATCCTGTATATAATATTATTTTTGGAATCTACAACAATTACCCGACAACTTTTCTTGATATTTCCCTATACCTATCTGTTACCGTTTTCGAAATATTAATCAATTTAAATTTTTTTCTTCGGAAATCATGACCTCCAAAAATGCTGATATCTCGTGAGGTATAGTTTTTGAAATTAATATCTTTGAGTTAAGGAATACTATGGTATCGAAATTTGATTTGGAGTTAGGTGATACTTGGGAGCTTCCCACATTTCAGCGTAATATCCGTTACTTCAATACAAGGTGATGAAAAAATACAGGTTTTTGTTTGCTTGAAAAAGAGAATGAAAGTTGATTGTTTCAAATGGAACACCCTGTGTTTTATTACTGATTCAGAAAGCTGTTAAAATTAGCTTTCTAAGCATATCATGCGTATACTTAACTAGTCTAGTTTAGGACTTATGAGCACTTATTTGTGAAAATGTTCCTTCAGAATGGTATTCCCATTTGGTCTTTTGTAAGCAGGTCATGATTTTTATTTGACGGTTACCTTGCGACATTCTCCTAATAATATTAACATTTTCGCCACTTCAGAAGTGTCAAATACCTTCAAAACGATGGACAAAACTATTCAAACAAAATTCTTATGAATTTGTTCATTATTTTTGGACAGTGTTATCAAATTATCAGCGAAACATGTAAAAAGTTCAACAGGTAATTGTTGTAGACTCAAAAAATGATATTATATACAGGGTGTTCCATTTGAAAAATCGAAGTTGCTACTATTTTCTGATGGAAGTGGCAACACCGCATTGCTGAAAATATTTAAGTTAGGTAGAGAATATATGAATATGCGCTCCATTGAATTTTCAAAGTGACCAGTATCTGGTTCACCAGAAACATCTCATGTGCCTTGAATCAGCCCGTATATATACCCCATCGGTCATTGGTTCAAATCAGACTGTCGGCAACCGAGAATAGCAAATTCTTGGAATAAATATTCTTGTTCAGTATGTTTTGTTCATGAAGGAACCACTTCCCAACCCAATTTCGAATTTCCCAAATAACTGTAAGTGTATATTTCACCGAACCCTACAGTACACAATATGGGCCTCTCTGACTTTAAAATTAATGTTTGGAAATAGTGTGTGACTTTCAAATACCATTTAATTACCTCATTTAATGACTTTTGTTGGATTAACGCAATTTAATCGCGCAAGTATAAAGGTTCAACTTTTAAATACCTATCTATCGAGACCTTGTAGAATTGATTTTGTATGTACATTTCTGTACTGAATTGACTTAACCGAATGTCGTCATCATCAATGAAAATAAACAGAATATAGATTTTGAAGTGTCTGATTTTGAAAACTGATCATTACAACATTATGTATATCAAGTAAACCTGAGAAAATGCTTTGTTTTGATAATAATAGAGACATCCTGTCACTTGTCAACTCCGGTCGCTGGTTTTTTTTATAAATCAGTCGTCAGTGACATCTGAGTCATCGTGGAAATTCGTTTGATGAAAAAAGGAACACAGGATATGAGCCATGTCAACGTGAACAAGATTATACAAATAAATATGGTCACAATTCTTTGAAATGAATTGTTCATTTATAAAATGTCAAGGCAATTGGCCCAGATATATTATAACAAACAAAATTTTTGGTACAAGTCAGTCAACTACTAGGTAATTAATTTGACATAATCCCCAGCATCATCGAAAAATGTAATTTAAACATTTTTAATGATATACATCTAGATATAAAATCAAATTTTACATTTAACTCTTTTTTCAGTAAAATATTCAATAATATACAGTAGGTGTTATAAAAATCGTGAGAGTATTGTTGAATTTAATTATATGATTATTTTACTCTACTAGACAAATCATAGAAGAATTAACCACAATATTAAAATATTGACAAGAATTTGAAAAATAAACAAAGCCTCCCAGATACCATGAAAAAGTAACTGGTACGCCAATGCACTCATCACATCTGGTCTAACTCGATGAGAGAGACAAGAAGACAGCCTGCTTCCTACTCTTCACTAATAAACAGTGGAAAGAAAATATCTAAACATCTCTAACAACGTGCTCTTCAATTGTTGGAAGTACGTTCTCTTCATTTAACAATGACAAAAGACTTACCGGGTAATACATCCCCTGATGGGGAAGAAAAAAAGCTCCGGCGCCCCACAGCTTGACTGATTTTACGGGCAGTTCACTAGAAATCACTGCACAAAGGCAAATAGTTTTGTTTTTTCTTGGCACTGCGTTTACTTGACACAAAATCACGTAGCTATCGAGTCATGTAGTTGGTTTTCCTTTCAGAAACAGAAGAACAACGCCCGATCTCGGTCGAGCAGGGTTCCTAAACTACCCTGGCAACTTGAATTCAACAACGAAGCTGCTGAGAAGGACAGGATAGGCGGGGGGCGAACGAAAGCGTGTTGTCCGTAGATTGATGCGGTGTTGTCGGATCGGTCGCCTTCACTCTAAATCTCCTTGCACGTCTCATCTGTAAGAGTAGGAGCGGTCCCGGAAAATTTAGTAATTTGTTTTCAGTAGCGCAACAAGTTTTTGTCTACCTCGGAAAATGTGTTCATTTGGTTCAATTATATTTTCTACAGATCAATTATTTGTATTTAATTTGTCACTTATATCGCACATACAGCTGCTAAGCTATTGTAATATACGCAGATGAAGCATGATCAGTAGAATTATATTTCAGTGACGTCAGGAAAGACGTGTTGTATAGAATTTCATATCATATTATATCGTTGAACGTTGAAAGCAAGCTGAATGTTCGTTTTTCTGAAGACCTGTTTTATACGCAGCGCGGAGCTGATTTTTATTAATCACATTGGCAGGAGCGTGAAATTTCCTGTGACAGCTTTGGTTTTCAGTACCTAGCTAAGTGTTATCAGTTTCACAAAATTGTGGCATATGCAGGCAAAGAAAGTTGACAGCAATATTAAAAAAAAATCATTTCAATAGATTCATATTGGAGAATACTCTTCATTCATTCTGGTTCATATTGTATATATATTTTTTAAATCTAAATGACTTCCTTTCATCAAAATGGTGTAGATCTAGGACAAAACCTGGTCGAACCAAGTGAACCAAGTGAACAAACGATCGATTTTCACCTGGTATCGTCCAGCCTGGGGCTTGAACCACCGACCACCACGGCGGTCGATTTGAGTGAGTGAACAAAGCACCCTGAAAGCATTAAGGAAGAAAAATTCTTGCAGTTTTTTTCACCATCATCTATGAACACTGAACGTTTTATATCTTTAATGATATATTATTTACCTCTGTTTCTTTTTCATGCTTTCTAGACAGCTAATATTCGAGTTGTCAGACATCAGAGGTACAAGTAATTATAGGCATTATCAAAATTTTAGCTTTAGCGACGTGGCATCACTGTAAAGTAATGGTGGGGTCGATCAATGAACGCCGGTCGGTTGTGTTGAAGCAGGCAAAGCTAGGTAGGGGATTGCATGGGTGTAGGTCAATTGGACCCACTTTATCTCGATGAGTACAGAACAGCCACCCCCTGAAACAAACCCTCAGAAGTTGGCACCGAAACATCTTTATTCGTAGTAACAGGTCCGTTATTGTTATGAAATTTCAAAGAGGGAAAGAAGAGGTTTTTACTGGAATTCGAATCTTTGTTAAATGGAATAAATTTTATGAAATAATAATAATAAGTTGAACTGTGAAATTATTTTTCAAAATTATCAACATATTTCTTTGGTTCACTATTGATATACAATAGGAACGTTGATTTTTTTTCAAATAAAACTTCAATAAAAATTCCTGATATTTATGTTTCTCGTGAAAAGTCCTTCGAAATATACAGTGTTGTGTAGATTTACAGGGTTGTTGATATAAAGTGAGTGATTCTCTATCCATTTATTCTGCGCCAAATATTCATGATGTACATTTTAGAAATGGAAAAATTTAATGAAGAAAAGAGAAATGAAACTTTCTATGGTTTTAACCACTTTTATTTGTAACTAACGTTACTGCAGTTTCGTCTTATACGGACATTTTCAAACTTATATAATAAAAGTGGTAGAAAACATAGAAACTTTCATTTCTCTTTTCTTCATTATGATTTCCTTCCACGTGATAACGGCTACATCCATCAATGTATGGAAAAATTTAAGTTTTTGAACTATGAAACATAACGGAATTAAGTACCTTAAATACGTTGTGCATTTAATATAGATCAATATGGCCCGTTACATCATGCAATTAAATTGAATATGTTCCAAGATATTACAGATTTAAAATGCAGGGACATAGCGGTTGGGGAGGTACGGACCGGGGGCTGGCGGCGCGTGCCTATAAATAGCGCTTTGCCCTATAGCTTATAATAAGCAGAGATCGTACGCGTTTATATGTAGGTATATTTAGTATCAGCATTGCACCCGAGGCGACTCGCTAGTTTTATATAACATTAAAGAAGTGTGACTTTCAACTGAGGGACAGATTTTTCATACAAGAGAGATAATATTGAATTGTTCAAAATGGTGTCAACAAAATGAAACAAGTTTGGTTGAGAACATTCTTTTTTTTTCTGGAACCACCTAACCAGTTTGAGATGTTTCGAAAAAAAACATAATGGGAAGAAACTCCAGAAGAGTTTCCATTTGATCTGTATCTACAGTAAACCAACTCATAACGGACATACATAACTTGCATGAGTTTCGACTTATTCGGGTTATCGTCTGGTCGTCTGTAATAGAATAACACTTGCTTAACATGAACGTCTATTTAACCAATTTTTTTCAACCCAATACAATCAATAAACCTCAAGCTCCACAAACACGTCCAACGAAAAATCGAGGGCAAAATACGAGTAGTTGAAAATGTATTTGAAAATACTATTATGGTGGCTGAATAAATCATTACATCAAAAAATTGTATTAAAATAATGTAAGAAAGCGTGAATTTCTGACTGAGTAGTGGGTTTTATCGCATTTACGGGAATACATGTTTCTGAACAGTTGTACTCACCTCGTACCAAAATATAGTGGAAACCGAATAATATAAATATGGTTACCAGTGGCGGCCGGAGTTATTTTCTTGCGGGCATGATTTACAACAATATCAATTTGAATTTTAAGTTTTTGTGAAATTATGAAAAAACAAAAATGAATTGGCGCTCCGGGGCGACTTCATTGATTCCAGTGGCGCATTTGCTTTTTCAGCTGCAGGAAAACCCGCAAAAACCTGCAGCACCACATCATCTGAAGATCTTGATCTGCCAATGTTCTCTCTTTCATAGAATAAAATGTAGGGTGTTTCCAGAGTCTCCAATAAATTCAAGACATCGCCAGAACACTTAGTGACACGTCAAATATAAACCAGTCCGTTTCGTCTTTGACTAATGCATAGTAATAACCAGATTCAACGCCAGAACCACAGTTAACAATGACTGCATGTATTGTATTGTGTTATTTTCCTGATGAATAATGAAAAAAGTTTTTGTTGCCAGATGAAAAATATCAAAAAATATGAAAAGATTTTTTTCACAGAAAACTCGTTCGGATGTAAAATATTGATGTGGTTATGCTAAAACTCCATAAAGAATTAAATGTTCATTATAAAAAAAGTTGTGACTATCAGCATGATTTCACCCAAATTTGTTAATGAAATGTCATCTTTCTGGATCAAGAATATTGAAAATTCATCAAAAATTAAAAATACGAAGTGAAAATCTCTCTGTATGATACGGTTTCTCTGATTGCGGAAGATTCCAACGAAAAACATTAAAAACACGTGTGTCACATCCCATTGCTAAAGGGAAAAAGTTTTATGGTATTGATATAAGGAAAATTTGAAAATGGTGTGAAATAAGAGGAGTTTGAATTTAAAGGGAGATATTTTTTAGGAAAGATTAGTTTTCGATAAAATGATTTTGGCTTTTTACTTCTAGGGTGATGCCATAAATACATCTTTTCATTGAAAAATACTACAAATGATGCCTTTTCAGGTAAACTTTGTCTGACTTTGATATCTTGTTCTGTTCAAAAGAGACTCTTTATGTGCGCACCATATAATGGCTAGAAGTTAGTCAAATTTACTACCATCCAAATTTTAGACGAGAGAGAGGATAGGTCGACCAAAGAGAGCACGCTCAGGGATGCAACATAACCTCTTAGAAGCGCGAAGTGATTTTGGATAATCGAAATCTTGCGCTTGCAACCAGCTTCTATTTACCTCGCCTATTTCTCCCCAGTCTAATACCTTTTTCAATCAATGGCACATTCACAAAGGCTGGTGGGACGATATGACTGACATACGTAATGTGAGATGGTAAAACTTCCACCTCATACAAGGTGTGAAATAAAAAGTGAAGATCTACGTTTTTCACCGACTGGAAGAATTTTTCCCAACTGGAATATTTTTCAGAAGGCATATTTTTTGTAGATATTGAAAAATGAATCAACTATAAGACAAATTTTCCCACCCCTCTCTCGTAACCCCCACATTGGAAAAAAATGTACCTCATTCGACAGGGTGTCGGAGCGTTCTAAATCAGGAGGGGTCGTCTACAGCATAGTCTATAGCTTCCCTAACTAACGGATTTTCGTGAGTTTCCGCACCTTCAAAAACTCGCCGATTCCTCGACTGAATGGACTGCCGAATGGAAGGCAGCTGCAAATCTCTGCGGATGGCTTCATTCCGCACGAACCAAGGGCACAATCATCCTCATTAATTTATTTTGCAATACCTCCAGAATGGAGATATTATGAATTGAAGGGGTTATATTTTTAGGAGTGATTAATTTTTGGGAAAGAAAGTTTTTGGCTTTCTACTACTGCATCTCGATACAAAAAAAGGATGAGGGAATCTTTCCCAAAAAGGAGATATTATATTTCGCCGCTTGTCCCCAGACGCCTGAAGCATACATGATGACAGCTTAAACATCGTATTGTAGATGGTTATCTTGTTTATCAGACTCATTTTTGATTTTCTATTGATCAGAGGGTACAGACTTGCAATCCGACCCTCGATCCTAGATTTGACTTACATGATATGCGGGATCCAAGTGAGCCTACGGTCTATTAGAAGGCCGAGGTACTTTACCCGCGCTTGCCAGTCAATCTTCCTTCCAGAGATTCTCACTTTTCTGCTCGGAGAAGATAGCAATTTTCCCATGATTATCAGCTGAGTCTTGTCCGGGTTTACTCGGATCTTCCAATCGAGGTACCAACGCTTGGACTTATTCATCGGAAGAGGAATAGGTATAGGTCATTCGAGTGCTTTCACCTATTCCCTCTTCCCTCTCTCCGCTTCATTGATTATAGTGAGAGATGACCGTTTGGCGGGATTTGGTCGTTTTTCGCTTGATTAGAGGTTCCCTTATGTTACGTATCTCTACGCTAGCTTGACTAAATGCGTTGTTGGACAACATATACGCGGCTTCTTTGAATTTCCTCCTAAACCAGT